CTCATCTGGAACCCACTGTGTTCTTCATAGTCTGCAAACTTGGGTCTTCATTTCAGAAAAGTTTTCTATAATTATGTCTTTGATTGCTGTTCAGTGCTACTTGTCTGATGTCTTTCCCCCTAAATACTGGCAATGCTTAGCCTTGGTGTCCATTCTTCCATTTTTTGTAATGTTCTCCTTCTTCCTCTTATCCATTTTCATTGTTGCTTCCCCTATAACCTCTTGTTTTTAGGAAAGACTATGAAATAATTTTCTACCCAGTTAAATAAGATTTCAAGTGTTTTTGACTATTGGCTGTGTATCAGGCAAGGACATAAAAACTTGTTCCTGTGGGCACCTATGGTGGATTGGATACTGTCTGTTTTTAGTCTAGGGGACAGTGAGGAGTCAGGGCTACTCCTGGGATCTCCCAGTCAGGATAGAGCCAATGAGGACACTGTGGGCCAATTACAAAGTTTAGAGACGTTTACAACATGGATCATAAACCAATCTTATTTTCTATTCTCAAGGTAAAAATATTGAGAAGTACAAAGATTGGGTGGCTTCTATCTCTATGGACCACCAGGGTTACATATCTGGTAAGGCCAGGACCCTGGCCCTGTTGAGTTTCCATTCATCTTTGGATCCTCCAGCCATTTTATTTAATGAAACAGCACTACTTACAAACTTGTAGACTAGCTAATTGGAGTGGCACTTTGGAACACCTTGGTGCCTAGACCTGTGGTCTATGCAACTAAGAAGTTATGCAGCAGATTTGGAAAACAACAAGTATGGTTAAGTTAAAGATGCAAGGAAAGCTGGTCCATGTGTGATAAGTGGCATTTGTAAGAGAATGGAAGGGAACATGGTGGACATGTGTGTTTGTTATGTGCCCATGTTGGCAGGTGGATTGGGGCAGGGTGTTCCTGAGGACTTCTGTGACTCAGGAAGTTGAAATGCAATTAAGGAGGCAGCCAGGTGAAGGGAAGGGGCATTGGGAAGTGTTGGAGACCCAGTCATCCTCACCTGAACCGTGTCAAGACCCACTTCACATCTTAGAAACATACAGTTTTTCTCAAATGTTTGATTTCTGACTGGAGCAGACAATACACACACACACACACACCACTCGATCATGGGCTATTTGAAGCACTTTTGCTCTCTGTGGGAATTTCTGGGAGTCAAACTGTTACAAGTGCTCACAGCAGGGAAAAGAAAGACAGAATTGGTCTGGAGACCAATTCTGCCTGAGGATGAGGCTGAATCACATTGAGAGGTCACCTCACCATCTACACGTGGAAGGAGAGCTCTGGCAGCTCATGGACAGCTGCCGCCCAGGTCCTGTGGTCCGCTCATGAGGTCCTTGTCCTCACCGTGCTTTGATGTCTGACTAGAAGGAATAGAGGCCATCTCTCAGCTCAGGTTGCAGCTTCCTAGAAGCAAATCTGCCTCCCTCTTGATTTGTTTCCAAATTTTGTGAGCACAGATGCTATCAGATGTCAAAGAGTTACTCCAGGCTTTGCACAGTCGACTGGGCAGGGGTCAGGGAAAGAGAGGGCTTGGTTGTGTCTTGTGTGAAAAGCTTACGGATGAGAACAGTCATGTGTCTGCCCAACCTGTTTTTAGGAAACTATCAGGGCTTTAAGATCTGAATGAGGGTGTCAATAGAATTACTTGATTAGAAGTTAATGGTACAAGGTTGGAGGTTCGTTTCTACCAAATTTTCTGAGGCTCAGTTCTGACTAATATTTAGTGGTACTCTTCCCAGCCTCTGGGTCACAGATATTTCCTTCTGTTCTTGGCATAGACCCAGCAGGGGTTATGCATGGGTTTCACAGGGTTCATGGATTCCTGAAATGGTGTACAGAACTCCAGGTAATGTGCTGCTGTGAATTTTCCTGGGAAGAGAGTTTGGAATTTCCCATGAGATTTTCAGGACCTATTACCAAAAAGTAAAAACTACTGGTTTAAACTTTCCTTAAAGACTCTTCTGGTTAATTACACAAACATCTCAAGTACAAGAGGGGGCGGGGAGGGACAGCCCTCTGGTCTCGAGCTCTGCTGCTCTCCTCCCACTCTTCTAGCTTAACCCAGCTCTGCCTGGGTCTCTGTCTCCTTCCCAATGACTCTAGTGGTCTCGGGATCACTCTCGTCCTCTAAATTGGATTTTATGGCCATGTAACATTCACTGCATTATCTTGTATGAGGAGGATCGATACAAGTAAACATGAGTTTTCTATGCATTTTCAAGATCATGCTGCTTAATAATATATTTGTTCTGTGTCTTACTCCTGCTTCTGTCTCTATGGACCACCAGTCCATGTGTGTGGCTAAGAATGCCAACTGTACACCAACCCACCACTGAAAGGAAAAGGACAAAAAGAAGCAATAATCTGATGACTTCTTGGTGCCAGAAACAGAGACGTGATAATGAACATACAAAATCTATCACGGTGACTAGTCTCCAGGACCAATCTACACATGAACTTGTGAACCCGCGAGTTATTTGACATAGGACATTTATACACTCATGGAGATGTTTGCTGTTATTCTTGACCTACCATTAGAAACACATGAGAAGACACAACATTTGGAAGGATAAATACCTTATTATTTTTCTGATGATCAGAAATGGAAAACACTGAAGTAGAAGAGCAGAAAACTATGGTGAACAGTCAATGGAAGAGGGCTTAATGTAACCACTTGCTGGGCCCCCAAAGCATTAAAGTCTGCTGCTCTTAAATCTGTCCAGGGCCAGTGTGTGAATTATTATATTAAGGAATTAGTTAGCGTCATCACAGAGCTACAGAATATCACCCTGGGGGCCTCATTGGAGACTGATGGAAACTCTAGAGGGTTGATATTGGCGATCAAAGGGTCTTTATATTTAAAATGCACAAAGGATGAGCCTAGAAATTATCTGCCTGCCAACTTAACTTCTCTACCTGGAACAAATTATCCAAAAATCAATTTGCAAACACCTTTGAGATAATAAGGTCTTGAGTAATAACCCCCATGGCTTTGTAAAGAAAAGCATATACCTTGACTAATCTGCTTAATTTCCTTCTCTGACCAAAAGGCAGGCTACAATAGAGGCAATCTGAAGTTGTCCTTTAAGATTTGCTTCAAGTCACACTGAGAAAATATTGCCCACCCCTGTTTCACAGAAAATTATTCTGTTTCTGAAGAGTCTTCGCTGCTAGGTAATTAATTAGAAGAGAAATGCTGAGTGAGTCTTATCCCAAAGCACACACCCGAGTTCCAAACTAGAACTCATACTTACCTTCACCCATATGAGTATCCCAGAGCCTTTCTGGGACTGACATGTTCTGAATACATCTGCATTGCACTCCATCCCTAAGTACCTCCTCAACCCCACCTTTTTATTTTACTGTAGGAATCACTGATCCTACACTATCCCTTGATAGATAACCCCATTCCTGGCCTTTGGTCCTAAGAAAATATCAGACAACAAGGACTGCAATCATTTGCACAAAGATGTTCACTACAACATCATTTATAACAGCAAAACTTCAGAACAAGTCACATGTCCAACAATGGGAGCATAATTAGTGTGATAACCCGATGGATCATTCTGTAGCTATTAAAGACAGTGAGAGCAAAGTCCATCTAACATATAAACCAAGTCCTCAGGATGTAATAAATGAAGGAAGAGAAACAACTCTGCACTGGATCTCTGAGTTATTATAGCCACATTAAAATTATAAGTATATGAATAAAAATTGGAATGAACATAGAGAAATTAAAATGCCTGCTACATTGGCTGGTGGGGAAGAGGGCTATTTCTTCTTTCATTTTCTTTATTATTATTCACTGATTTTTGTTAAGAATAAGAATAACAATCATCCAGTTTGCTGTTAAATAGGGATATCAAGAGCCAAACAGCCTTCCAAGGGGAGAGCCCATCTGGGAAGGCATGCAGAAGTTGGTTTCTTCCTGTCTTATCTGTTTCTTGACCTTGGTTAGATGACCTGATTGCTTGGGTTTCCCAGATTTTCACCCATAAAAATAGAGGCAATTAACATTGCCTAAGAAGTAAATGAAATAATATGTGTGAAATTTCCTGGTCTCTAAAAATTTCAAAAGAACTCTGTACAGTGCCCATGCCTATAATCTTAGATACTGGGGAGGCTGAGGCAGGAGGATCCCAAGTTTGAGGCCAGCCTGGGCAACATAAGACCCTGTCTCAAAATGGAATATTTAAAAAATGGGCTGGGGATGTAACTCAGTGGAAAATGCCCTTGGGTTAAATGCCCAGTATCCACTCCACACACACATATGTGCACACATGAATAAGCCCATAAAGAAGTACTTCCTTTCTGCAGCTCTTCCAATAGGTCACCATAAATACTGTTAAAATTCTGGCATGTTTAGCTGACAATATGGAACTTAATGGAAGGGAGGTAGCAATGCAGAGCAGGTAACTCAGCAGGACTTTTCCTTTGACCTTGGATTCCTACTGTGTCCACTATGGCCAAGGGCTCTTTCTCTGCTGGACAGTACCTGCCACAGTGTAGAAGCAGCTGAATTCCTGTTAGGCCACCATCCTTATTCAACCTAGGCTCATATCACACTCCAGGGAGGACTTCTACTAACAATCTATGTGTTTGGATGTAAAAATGCTTATAAACTACAGATCCCCTCAAATTTTGTGTCAAACCTCACTTTATAGTAAAGGCAAGTTCACTTGAGGATAGGAAGCAGAGGATTCCTCCTGGTGGCCTTGCTGTATACTGGAGAAACCATGTCCCACAGTGTCTTTTTCTTTTTTCTTTCTTCTTTCAATGAAGGAGATATGGTAGGTGTTGGCTATAGATTCTGAACAAATGTCTACTCAGGTTACACTGACAGAAACCTAAAAACTAAAGCAGGAGGTGAATGTGTCCAAAAGGGTCATAGGAATGTTTTACACTGCTGTGCCTGGACTCTGTCCCTCCCCCTCACTTGCTCATCTGTAAACCACAGAGGCTGAAAGTCCTGTGTTGATGCTTGTCTTGCAGAGCCTCCCACCCCCATCGCCCCTCCAGAGCTGCTGGCTGTGGGGGCCACCTATCTGTGGATCAAGCCCAACGCCAACTCCATCATTGGGGACGGCCCTATCATCCTGAAGGAGGTGGAGTACCGTACGACCACGGGCACCTGGGCCGAGACCCACATAGTTGACTCTCCCAACTACAAGCTGTGGCATCTGGACCCCGACGTGGAGTACGAGATCCGGGTGCTGCTCACACGGCCAGGAGAGGGTGGCACAGGGCCACCGGGGCCTCCCCTCACCACCAGGACCAAATGTGCCGGTAAGCACCACCTCCTTCTTCTTGGATCCATTGTGAGCCGCTGGGCCATCGGGTTACTGGTCCTCCTCTTGCCCAGGTGACTTTGGTGTGAGTGTGCTTACGCTGTGGAGAAAGAGAGTCAAGGTCTGGGTTTGGCCTTAGAGGGCCTCTGGCTCTGGACTGTGATTCTAACCAAGAACCTCATGACTAACTGTGTCACGGAGAAGTTCCTGGTTCTGGCAGTGATTCTGATGGGACACTGACTCTATTGATGTGGCTCTGCAAACCCCTGATATCATTTGTAGTTTGAGGCTTTCTGGTGCTAATCATGCCTCTGAGGGCTCCCAGCCCTGCTTCTCTGAAGGTTCTTGGCTCTGACTCTCTGAAGGCTTCTGGTTCTTACTGTGTCCCTTGAAGGCCTCATTTAGACTATACCTCTGTGGCCTTCTGATTCTGGTTGTACGTCAGGCATGTGTCTGATTTCAACTTTGTCCTTAAAGATCCATGGCTGGGGGGTGACCCTGGGATTTGGTCATTTCACTGTTGGTTCATAGTTTGAGTTTTGTCTCTGAGGAGCTCCTGGTGCCAACTTTGTCTTCAGTGCCTCCTGGTTCTGATGGTGTCTCAAAGTTGATTCTGGAGCTGCCTGAGTCCCTGAGAGTTTTCTGATTCTGGATCCTCTGAGGCTCCTGGCTCCTAGCGAAGTCCAGGTTGGGGCTGTTTTTCTAAGGCCCGTCTGGATGCTACGATATCTCCTTGGGCTTCTGGAGCTGTTTCACTCAAGTTTCTGGATGTTGCTAAAGAATCTTCTACCTGGGGCTATATGTGGGAGGGTCCTTTGGATTCAGTTGTATTTGTGAGGCCTCCTGGCTTTGATGGTATTTTTAATAAGGGACTTTTGACTGGGACTGTATTCCTAAGATGTTCTTGGCTTTGAATGCAACTCAAGAAATTAGAAGAAGTTGATGTAGTTGTTTTGTTTTTCTTTCAAATCATATTATTATCTATTTTTTTCAGTCTAAGTAACCATTCATACATGAAGGAATCAAGGCTCAGTATCTTAAAAACTTTTTGTCCAATGTCATAGAGTTGGCGAATGTCTGGATTTGCACTCAGGTTTTCTGACTCTAACCCCCTTGATCTCTGGTTGCATCAAGATGAATAGAGAGGTGGATGCTGTGGGCATGGTGCACAGAGCGGGGTGTTGCACTGTGGGGAGGGGCCATTCAGGGAAGAAGGCAGTATTGACTTCCAAGGGAAAAGGGGTCACTGATGGAATTCTGGGGTGCGGGGAGTGAAGGGTCCCTCAGAAGAGAGACATGGAACAAAAAGCAAAGTATGTAAATTCTGCTATAAGGTGACACGTTATAGCAGTGCTAAAAATCACTGTTCTGTGCCCCATGCTACGATGAATACCATACCACGATGAATACCATATAATTATGAGAAAAAAAATTAATGGGATTAGGAGCACCTCATACTTCATCAGTGACACAAAAAGAGAGGAAGCTATTAAAAATGGCGGCACAAGTTTATACGTGTCGAATGGCTAAGAAGTGCATGAGTACCATAATACATATGGTAGATGACCTTGAGAACTTCAGATGTTCGCTTGTGGGGGTGCAAGTCAGAGGGCTGCAGCCTGTGAGATACTGTAAAGTGCTAGCAGGATGGCCCTCTGAGGCTGGTGGAAGGGTATACACCAGATACTGACCGGTGTGGCTCACAGCACACCTGGTGAACTCAGGGAGTGGGCAGGTGTTAGGGGTGTGTGTGTGTGTGCTTGTTTTGTGCATCTCATTTTGTCTGGATGCAGTTTTGTACTTCACTGATGCTTTTTGCATACAAAATTATCCACAAGAAAACTTATAATTTGCATTAAGCTTAAACAGCTCCCTGATAGAGCAGGTGTTTTAGAACAAATTTGAGTTTTCAACTGTTTTGGAAATAAATTTGAATGTTCTAGCAGAATTAACTGGAACCATCCCTAAATATCTCAGAAGTATATCTTGTAGCATGTAAGCCAAGGGAAGTGAGTATTTCCATCTCTTGGAAATATTGCTTTGAAAGTTATTGAAGCACTATGATGAGCAGAGATGCCATTTTTAAAATTATTTTCAAAACTGGCCTTTGGTAAAATTCCTCATTGAAACCTGATTATGAAACTTACTACTTTAAAAGGACATAAGGGTATGTTATTAAACCGGATAATACCTTATCTCAGTTTTGCAATGCAATCGTCATCCATAAAAATAATTGATTTGATTCTACTGATGAGACTACTCTCTTTCCATGGGGTAAATGTAAGAGTTGTCAGTTGATCTTTATAAATGATATTCAAAGTACTTTATCAGCCCCCATGGACTTATTTGCTGATGATCATATAATACATTTGGAAATTCAATTGCAAGATGATCGTCTCAATAAAAATTTACAATCTATTGCAAACAGTTGCCACAACTGTATAATGGATTTTACATGTTGAAAACACAATGATCTGACTATCACTATAAAAATTATGACTTGGAATGCCATTTTTGATATTATATTTCAAGAAATGCTGGTGTTTAAGTAAGTTACAGCTAAAATCTTGAATAACCCACATTCTACAAAATGTGTCATCAAGAAAATAATATCATTTCTCTCATTGCCTCTGATGGTAGAATGTTCTTTGCTTCTTAATTAATTTTTAAGAGAATGCCAGGACTGCTATCTATCCATTTGTGAATGCTCTTTATTGGCATTGGTAGTCTGAGTTTTCTCTCCTTCCCCTATTCTATTATTAATCACACTGAAAATGTACTCATTATTTTACAAAACCAGAAAATGAGAGAGTGTGGAATGTGGGAGGTATCATTTCTGCCCAGAGGAATTTACAGGCTGGGTGAAGACTCCAACCAAACAGCAAAAGAGGTAAAACATAAACATGAAGTTGTGTGTTGAAATAGCATACTTCATGGAAGAAGACAGGGTCAGCATCAAATAGTAGTGTTCTCAGAATAATGCAGGGCAGTGTGGTTCTCAAAGTGTGGTCCCTGGACTAGCATTATCAGTGTTACTAGAAATTAAATGTTTGTCTTCCCCCCAAATTTATATATGTTGAAACCTAATCCTCAGTGTGCTGGTCAGGAGGTGGAGGATTTGGAAGGTGATGATGTCATAAGTCTCGTAACAGAGACTCCAGAGAGCTCCTTTGCTCCTTTGCTGTGTAAGGACACAGCAAGGAGATGGGTCTGTGAACCAGGAACTGGGCCTTCACCAGGTACCTGATTTGGTGACACCTTGATATTTGTACTTTCCTGTCTCTAGGACTATTAAAAAATAAATTCTGTTGTTTATCAGCTACCTACCTTATGATATTCTGTTATAGCCACCCAAATGAATTAAGACAGATATCACCCGGAGAATTATTATAAATGAAAATACTCTGAACTAGTTTCTTGACCCAGTGAATCAGAAATGCTGGGAGTTTGGCCTGGGAGTCTGTGCTTTAAGGAGCCCCCTGACCCATGTGGATGCACAGCCAAATGGAAGAATCGCTGATATGCAGTGACACCTGACCTGGCCCCTCTATAAATGCCCTTTATGTAATGTGATCCTTAAGGCGGCTCTGAGAGGTAGATGGGGGGGGGGATTATATTCAGAGTTATGAGATCAAGGTCACAGTTTATTTAAGTTCTTAGAGGTAAGTCTTCTGACTTAAGGAACTCTCACCCTATGGTTTATTTATTTATTTTTTATTTATATGTGACCGCGGAATGCATTACAATTCTTATTACACATATACAGCACAGTTTTTCATATCTCTGGCTGTATACAAAGTATATTCACACCAATTCATGTCTTCATACCTGTACTTTGGATAATAATGACCATCACGTTCCACCATCATTTATCACTCCATGCCCCTCCCTTCCCCTCCAACCCCTCTGCCCTATCTAGAGTTCCTCTGTTCCACCCATGGGCCCTCTCCCTATCCCACTATGAATCAGCTTCCTTATATCAGAGAAAACATTTGGAATTTGGTTTTTTTGGGATTGGCTAACTTCACTGAGCAATATCTTCTCTAACTCCTGTGGTTTGATGGAGTTTTTGGCTGTGGGGACCTCCTCTCCTCCCAAGTGTCTTTTTGAAGGTGGGATTGGGTAATCATGGAGACCAGCTGAGAATGAATGGCTGCCTCAGTCCTTTTCATCAAACACTTACTGAGTTTTTCATCAAGTGTTTCATCAAGCACTTACTATGTGCTGAACTCTGTTCTAGTCCTGGGTGGCAGAGGTTGGCTTAGTAAGGACCTGCTAGGAGCAGGCAGAGGCTCTGCAGCAGGAAGTCACAGGCTCAAGTGCATCTCAGTTCATCAAGGCAGGTAGGCATGTGTTCTGGTTCTACCAGGACGAAGGAGACACTGACAAGGTACCCCCTCAGGGCACTAGGAGCAGAGTCAACCCCTTGAGCAAGAGGATTGTCAAGGGTTTGGCTTCAGAGTATCTCAGACCAAAAGGTTGGAGTTTGGAGCAGGACTCCTAGCCGGTTACACTGGAACCCAGATAGACCATCATGTGGGATTCCAGGAATGTGACAATGGGGAAAGGGAGTCTAAAGTGACATGCCAGGCTTCTGGTTCAGATAACTGAGAGGTGAGTGGCAGAACCATTTCCTGAGATGGAAAACACAAAAGATGGGCAGAGGAGTAGTTTGAGCTGTAATATGTTGTGCTGGAGGTGAAGGTGAGTATCAGGTAAGGGGGACCCACAGAGGGACTAGGTGACTGCCTCCTCTTCCATGAGAACCTCCTGATTTCACCTGGACTTTAGGATCAGAGATACATCTTCATACTAACGAAAGTGATTTAATTCCCAGTATTTATGCCATTCCCTTGAAATACTTCATTCATTTTTTGGTGGTGTTCATCATTTGGTTCCTTGTTCTCATTCTAATCATTCATCATCTTTTCTGGAAATGCAGGCCTTGGGGCAAAGGCAAACATGCGTATCCAAGTGCTTTGAAAAGCTCAAAATGCT